ATTAGTAATTAAAGTTCTTTATAATTATAATATATAGTTTAATTTCTTTATAAACTACTTGCTTTAATTCTTTTATATAGAACTTTTCTCTATTTTAGTTAAGATACTGCTAAAGCCCTACTGTAATAATAACTATATAGGTAACTAAGCCCTTTATATTCATCCTCTCTAACAGTTCTAAGTTAAGCTTTATTTTCCTCCTCTTCCTAAACTTAATACACCTTATAAGGTTAGGAATCCTAATATTTCTTAAAGCGCATATATATATAATTACTTCTTTTAACCTAATATTTTTATAATTATAATCCTACAATTAAGAGCTCTTACTCTATATAACTTCTTATAATTATTAAGTATATTTCCTCCCTTGATTTCATTCCCTAAGTTAAGGCCAATATGACTTTCTTTACCTTACTTTAAATACTTTTAAGCTGCCTTATTTAATCTTATATTACTAATTTTAGTATTATATAGGTAAGCTTTTATCTTATAGATTTCTCTTTCCTTATTATACTTAACTCCTTGCTTATTTAGTAGGAATAAAAATCCTAAAATTATTATTTTAATATTTATTTAAGTAATATATTACTAACCCTTACCAAGTTAATAAAACCTCTATAGTACAAATTTAATACATAGAGTTATAAGAAACATATATCTAAGATTACTAGTATCTATTGCTTTTATAAATAAACTAAAAGGCCCTATTCTTAAGGCTTTAGCTAAGATTATTACAAGGAATATATAGCTTACTTAAGTTAAGATCCTATTACTAGTTATAACTTTACATTACTAAATTAGCTAGCTATAACCTAGTAATAGGTTTATTATAAAAAGAAATACTCCTAGCTTTAAAAATAGCATAAATAAAAAGCAAGATATTAATAACTCTAATTTATATTAAGATAAAGATTAAGATAAAGGTAGTTTTAAGGATAGGTAGACTAATATACTAGCTACTACTTTAGGTTATAATAAGTAAGAATTTATCTATTTCTTTAATAAACTTTATAATAATATTATAAGTTATTAAGCTAGTTATTTTAAGTAGCTAGTTACTTATATTTACTCTTTATAGGTTATAAAGTACTATATACCTAACCCTAGTCCTATCTTAGGACTAAAAAATAATATTTAACTTTTTAACTAATAAAGGCATACTATTACAGCTATATTAAAGTAAAAGGATTCTAGTTTCTAGGGTATAATTCTAGCTAACCCTTTTAGTTTTAGGAAAACTCTATCTGCCTTTACTATAATCTTTGTTTTAGTTATAAAGAGTAAAAGCATAAAGGGCCTCTATATTATTATTACTCTTTTATTATACTATTATTAGTAAATAGTAAAGATTAATAGATTCTTTAAATAAGTATATATTTTTAAGACTGTATTATATAAGCCTTTAAGGTACTAGTACTAATAGTACTATAGGATTAAATACTAGCAATTTACCTTATTAAGAAGACTTTATTTCCCTTAGATTTATGAAAATATAAGGTTATAGTAATATCCTATTTATATCTTTTTACAAAGGTTATATAAACTTATAACTTTCTTATTAGCATTAAAAACTATAAGAAAGGTGTTATTACACAGCCCCCTAAGTAACTAATACTTATTTTACTCTTTGGAATCTATAAATAAGAGCCTTAAAAGCTAATAGATAAATAGCTTATCCTTAATAAGGCTTATACTATTAAGAACTACTAAAGCTATACCTATTACACTATATCTTTCCTAAGAGAACAGTTTAATGCCTATTTAATAATAATAGCTATGCTACTAGATAATAGTTAAATAGATTTATATACTTTTATTAGTATACTTAAAGAATACCCCCTTTTAAGCTTTTTTCTATTTAATATAGCTTTTTAACAGAGTCTTAACTTAGGCTTTACCCTCCTAGAAAGGTTCTATAAATAGCACTATATTTAACTACTAAATATAGTTAGCTTACAGTAACCTTAATTAGTAATTAGTAACTTATACCTTCCTTTTAATAATTATAAGATTATTAAATTCTATCTTATGCCTAAGGATTAAAAACTATTTAATAAATTATTTTAAGAGTTTAAGCGGCTTTTAAAGTCTAGGTTAAAAGCGGCTGGTTAGAAGTATCTTATAGCTGCCTACTAGTATTCCTATTATCCTATATTAGTTAAACTTATATCCAATAGGCTTGCCCTTAAACTAGTAATATATAGTAAGTAAATAGCTAATATAATTAAGCAAGGTAATAAGGCTATAATAAAGTAATTAGTTAAGTAGTAAAAAAGATTAGAAGTAAATATAAATTAGCTTTCCTACTAAGTAAAAATAATTTTTAATATTATTTACTAGTATATTAATATATATCCTAATTATTTATTTCTAATTATAAATAAAAGTATTTACTTTCTAGATATATTAGTAATTGCCTTTAAGAAAGCATATAAGCCTATTCCTTATATAGAGTATAATTAGTAGCTTAGCGTAATAAAATAGCATTTACTGGTCTAAAAAACCTTTAAAACGTAACCTCTATATATTATACTTACTAGTAGGGCTACTAAAGGAAAAGATATTATCCCTAAATGCTTTAATATACTTATTTAATACGGGTTATAGTAGAAAGAATTATAGAAGGTTTAGACTTTAGGGCACCTTTATTAACCTGGTAGGATAAAGCTAGTGTTTATTTACGAAGTAAAGGCTAAGGATTGTAATATAAAGGACTATAAGATAAATATCTAGAATAAACAGAGCAGACGTAACTTGGAACTCCTAGAAGGGGCTATTAGGCCTGATAAAACTATAGATATAGATATTACCCGGAGAAGTATGTGCTAAGAGTATCTTTTACCAGCAGGCCTTGCCGACAACGTCCGTATTAACAAATTGGCTACACTCTTGGCTACATTCGCGAGATCCATCGGCAACTCAAGTCGAATTCATGCTAACATTCATACAGCCAACAACTAGTTCTATCGACTGATTCTCGCGTGCCATAACTGGAGAAAAGGATTGAGGAGACTGGCGTCAGGCTGAGGGGAGAATGGCGCGGAGAACATAGCTCAATAACAATCATCCACGCCCAATTCTTGAGAGTGAAACTGTGACTATTATTCATCTTTGTCTCTGTATTTGGATGTAGCTTTGCCTCCCATATGCGGCCCTCTGTAGACAAATCTTTCGCGACCAGTTAACCATGTTTACCAAGGACCTTCCCTCGAAGGGTCAGACTTATGACCAACTTGCTGCAAGCTGCCAGATCAAACATGTTTTTATATCATGGTAACGGGCTGGGTGAGTTCATAGGGGCAGAGAAGTTTGAGTTTCTTTTTATTTAGCTGTGAAAAGAAATAAAATTGAGTTATCGAGTATTATATGGCTCTTTTATTCACTTTGCATAGGTCCAGTGTCGATGAAAAGGATATTATAGAGTAAACATGAATTACATATTTAGATTCATTAAATTGGCATTAAACATGGTCATTGTGAAAAGAATTGGGTAGATTTAGGACACTTTGATCTAAAGTGGTTCATTTTAGCACCCTTACCCAATGACAAAATACCCAAATCAGGAAGGTACGGACTTCAATCCAATGCATGCCGCGGCTTCCCACCATGTACTCAAGGAAGAATCATCTGTCACGTGTTGTCCCTCTTGCCACACTTTCTTTCAACTTACAATAATTGCAAACAGCTATCATTCTTGTTCTAACTGTGAACCCAATAGCAATCAACAATGCCGCCCTCTCAAGCACAGCCTGGAGCAGATCTTCCTGAACCCGCCAGGGCGACTGCGGAGATGCCAATGCCGGGCAATGAAGCCCAGATGGAGTTGATCGACGCTGTCTCCAGAAGCGAATCACTCTATGAGTTGTACCTGAGACTTCCTGGGCTGGCAGATGACCTTGAGAACAACCTGGTTCTCAAAGACAATGACTTTGACATAGTCAATACTGTCAGGTCCCTGAGACGGGATGAAAGCTGGCCTATGTGCGAGCTCTTGCATAGCATGTCGCCAAAGGTCATAAAGAGCATCATCCAGGGTACTGTCGCTTACGATTCCCATCCAAAGCAGAGTGCGGGACGTTCCTTGTTAAACAGCGACTTCCCCTGCTTTGAGACGCCTGTCAAAGGCAGAGACCCCCCCATCCCTGGCGTTTACGTGATTGCTTTGTATCGCAAGTTCACAGGCCACAAAGGAGAATTTCTCAATATAGCAGAGTTGAAGATGCTTATTGAAGATATGGAGGAGTATATCGAAGGTTATCGAGTGCATGCAAGGCTCTGTGCTGACATTCGAGCAGGCAGATCCAGGTCAGAGTCCGACTTGTCACGGGGTGACAAACTTGCCGTGAGACACTTCAGAGGGGTCGACCACTATGCAAACTACAAAGCCCCCCTGCCAGGTGCGACGCCACTCTTCATCAAGGATGATGGGGATGCAGCAGAGATTGAAGCCCTTGTGAGGACGTACAGGGCGATGTGCCGATCTGATCTCGACCCTACCGAGCAGGTCAGAATAAAACAGAGTCCTCTATATGTGGGTTGCTCGAATAATCTAGGCGACAGGACTCACCGTTACACACAGCCCAGTGTAAAGGGCATCAATAAGCCACTTGCGCTTACCATCTCCATCCTCAGGAGGCACAACCTGCCTGTCGAGCTCGCTGTCAAAGTGGTGCTTCGCACATGGCAGTCTGATCAACTGCCCATGGCAGAGCAGTTAATCATGACATTGGCAGGTTCTCTTGTGTATCAGCGCGGCTTCAATGCCACTGAGGGTGGTGGCACAGGTTACAAAACCGTTCGTTCTGGCGAGTCCTTCAAGGTAAATATGGAGTATGTCATGTCCCGTGTAGGATTCATCCGTCATAACTTCCGAAATACGGTGAATGAGCTCGAGGCTCGTAAGAGGTTCCTAGACAACCTTGAAGAAGTCGACGACGAGTTGACCGAAATTATCAAGACCATGACCCAGTGCAAACAGGAGCTGGAGAACCTCCCCAATAATATGAATTGGGGCGAGAAAGCCCTCGAATTGCGTGAGCTTCTGGCAAGCCTGAAGCAAGAGGGGGAAGATAGGAGAGAAGCATTGAAATTTTGGAGGCTTCTTCTCGATATCCAGAATATAGTTGTAAACGTCATGGGGGAGTCTATTGTCAGTGTATAAGTAGGGGGTAAATACAAGGTTGTTTCATAAACTCTTATAATTGTTTGACTCATGGAACGTGAAATAAACAATAGTCAAGTCATGCAACCACATCTCACTGAAATAAAGATCCAGCGAGACCGAACGAATTGATAACCTTGTAAGCCATTTAATCCTAATTGTAATTCAGTATTCCTTTCGTGTCTATGAATTCTATGGTCCATGTGGTACAAGTGGTCAAGAATGAGGCCTGGATAAGTGCCATAAGCTGCCAGTGTCAGGCACTTCCATTACTTTACCCTTTGCCAGCTTGAATCAGGCTCGTACTTTCTCACTCGCATCCCTTACGTTAGGGCAACAGTTGACGCACAACGCACAATAAGGTAATAAGCCTGAGGCCAATTTCACCTGAGCCCGGGTATATAAACCTCTCTGCTCTCCCTCTCTCCTCACTTTTCTTTTCTCTTCAACCATCAACATCACACTCGCGCCCGTGGCTGCTCGTTTTCATCTCCCATCCAAGACCAACAACCTTCCCAAGCACATCCCATTCTTCCATCAATCTTCCAACGCTTCCGCCATGTCTGCTGATCAGACCAACGACCCTGCTGTCACCCGTTTCCCCAACGGCAGTTACGGTGGTGTGACTTCTGACACTACTATTCTCTACTCCGTCGCGATGCGCAGCATGGAAGAGACTGGTGCTGAAAGTGTCACCATCCATCTCTCGGGCCATGGGCCTAGTAAGTCAAAGCTTGATCACTATGGCTTCACCATTCTAATACTGTTTGCCAGACGTTGACAACCCTACCATCTTCACCTATGAAATGGACCGCTCCGGTGCCCTCCGTTTTGTCTCTAGTCGCCCTGGTGTCCTTCCTGGTAAGTCACGCTCTTGTTTCTCGTCCCATACCCTACTAATAATAACTCAGCCAACTCCAACAACTAGTTCGACAAAGGACCTGTCGCGTGAGAATCATGGCGGAAACGATGGAGAGAGAATTTCGGGCTGGTAACGGCAAATGAAGGATCGTGGGAAAGAAAATAGTAGTTGAATCCAACCACTCACATCCCCATCATAGTTCTTGATTTTGTGACTAATGTTTGCCTTTTCCATGTGCATTTCCATGTCCTTGTTTATGCTTGACTCCCCATGCATTAATTGATTTCACTTGATTCTCATGTACGTTTGCCACAGCATTCAAATGAAGGTTGTATATTCTCAATGCACGATATCGCGACAGTACCAGGAGCCTTTGGTTGGCATGGACTCTGAACAAGACTAGCTCATTACCTGTCCCCTAAAAGACCTTCTGTCACTGCCAGTTCAGTAATTTATAAGCCCTAACATTACTTGATGTGCCACGCGAAACAAATACTGACATGTGGCCACTGTAACTCAGGGACATTTAAGCACAGACAGACCCGACAGTAAGGAGATGAACTAGAAAAGCCCTACGTGAGTTGAATTTGGATTAGTTCTAGCATTAAATGCTCTCTGCTGTTACAATAAAACATTATGTTAAAGCAAAGTCTTTACAGAACTTTCACTGTTCCACTTTGTCTCGGATCGCAAGCAGAAACCCTCCATCTTTGATCTCAGCTTTTCATGAGTCTCGCAAGTCAGTCTCCGTAAAACAATACCACAGCCCTCGCCGCAGTCTCCAAAGACAGCTCTTCTGAAACAACTCTCTCCCCAACCTCTTTGCGGTGATCGAAGATGGCTCCTCCTCACCATCGGATCAACCACAACCACCGCGACTACCGAGATCGAAGCCGAAGCTACACCTCTCGGGCTCAAACGGGTGGCTCACAGGATGAGGATGTGGTAGCCGCCCAGCGGGCAGTTGACCAAGCCATGGAACAGCAGCGCCAAGCTCAACACGCTGTTGATGAAGCGATGAAATGGCAGCGAGAGGTTCAACGTGAAGTTGATGAAGCCATAAAACGGCAACAAGAAGTTCAGCGCGAAGTTGCTCGTCTGGAAAACCGTGCAGACTCGGGTGCACATAGCCAAAGACGCCTTCATCCCAGTCCCTATGTTGCCAGCAAACGCAAAACCTCCGTTGCCCGTAATCGCAACGTACCCTCCTTTCGCCAGGCCAGCAGACCAATTGGCATCACCAAGGCTTAACAGCCATCTAGCGTTGGGCTAGGCCTCTCCAGTGACCTTGTTCCTGAGGCTGAGAGGCGCGACTTCGTGGATACTCGCTACAGGCCTGGCGGTGTAATTGTTATTACCAAGTCTCCCAGTAATGGCGAGCAGAGACGCTCTTACCACTTTCCGCCAAATCGCACTGGTAGTATGGAGGGAGTCACCTACGATATGGATAAGTTAAAAGCAGCCGGCGAGCATGTCCAGAGGACCACCGGATGCACCCGAATATCCTTCCGCGTGGAGGCCAAGGAAGAATGACGCCAAGAGCTTCATTGAAAACGAAGACGTGGTCATGAGAGTCACATCATCGGTCCCTTGAACCTCAATGCCGACAATGTCGGCATTTACCAATCGCCTTTGAAGGACACCCTTAAGGTCGGCCTACTTGCAGGATACATCAAGTATATCTGCCACCGAAACACTTGACACGTTACGCAAGCCAAACTTTAGAGGATGGCCGGGTTATAGGATAAAAGTTGATTTAATACTGTAATAATAGAGTTACTTAATCGTAATTAAATCTTTAATTTTCGTGACATGGTGGTTAAGATGCTGCCTAAAGTTGGCGTTTGTACTAAATTCTCTTTATTGAGTTTCTCATCCACGATCCTTAACTGCATGGGATCTGGATCGCAACTAAGATCAAAGACATATTCTCTTGCAGTTTGACGATCAAGGGGTACAGTCTGTATCAAAAGTCACAAGATACTCCCTCGAGGCAGACAGCTACGCAGAAATCCAGTGATTTGACAGCTGGGCAACACGTATTCATTTCACCGCATTGAATGACTAAAAAGGACCTCGAGTTCCCATCCCCCAATGCCCATTCATATCCATTGCCCCAAACTAAAATACGCCCGGTTGAGAACGCGACAGCATCGATGTTCCCAACGCTCGTAGCTGCCAGGGACGATACGCATCTTATTTGTGTCAGAAGATTACTGCGGAATGGAAACTGTTGAACCTACCATGAAATGGTTGCAAGAGATAAAGTCACTCTGGTTCCTCCTTTTTGACCTGGAGCAGAGGCGTCTGCGGCGGCAACGGATGCTGTCGAGAGAAACCACCAGCCTGGGAAGGCCGAGATGCCGGACGCTCGATCACCGGTCGAGAAGCTCTCACCATTCTGATGACGTGCTCCTCAGGGGGGGAAACATTGGGCTCCACCATGTCTCGGGCAAGCCCACGATCCACGTCGTCTCTGGGGCGGTAGCCAAGGTTGGATGTGATCCGGACAGGGCAGCCATCTTTCTTGGCTTTGGTAACAGCCTCATCGTCTTTGTACGAAAACTGGTAAATGATCTCCTTTCCCTGACCGTGCATCTTCATCACCCGAAAACGGTCAAGGACATCTCTTTCGTCATCGGTCACTCCCCAACCTCCACCCCTGGGACACGCCGCAAAAAACCTGCTCTGCGTTGCGATCGGGGTCGGGTTCATGTCTGTCAACTCCAGGATCGGCCCCTGGTCGGTGGTGTACTCTCGGAGTTCGCACTCGGATGAGATCGGCAGATGCTTCCTGTTGTTAGTTTGATAGCCATGATACGCTTAGTGGCACAACTCACCTCATTCAAGACATGGACATTGTCCTGGTGGTTCTCAGTTTCTCTGTTGTTGTCTTGACGCTGTGGGCGGTGACGGTGGTAGTCAGGACGTCGATCCCGTCGTTGTCGTCGACTACTGCGAGGCATGGTGGGCGTGATGATGAGAGAAAAAATTGAGAATTTGGGTTGCGATGTGGCTTTAGAGTGTGTATCGACAAAAGGTCTGTCGGTCTGTCACTGTTTGGGATGAGTGTCAGAATAATTGACAGGCCAGCACCCGCTTCTGGCCAGTGAATCATCCTGCGTTAGGTCAGCACAACGCCCGAACCAAGACAATTTCCTCCCGCCTAAATTTCTCCCGCACCTGAATCCGAGACCTTTCTCTTCTTCCACATCACATCGCGTCGCCGCACGTTTCTTCACAAGCTTTCCACCATGCCCAAGATCACTCTCGACTCGGCGGATATCAACCCGCCTGATACTGATGCTCGCCGACAGTACATGAATGTTTTCTTTGGAAAGCTTCCCATCTCGCGTGATCTCATACAGGAGGCACGTGTCTCGGCCGTCGTGCTTCAGACCAAGCATCTTGCTGGGCGGGGGCTCTGTGAAGTCAGTGAGGTTTACTTTGAGTATCATGTCGATGTCACCATGTGGGAGCTTATCGGTAAGTATCACTGGCACTTCCATACTTTGGTTCATGCTAACTACTCTAGTGAAACGCCTCATGATCAGCAAGAACAACCCATGGCCTTGGAATGTTTCACTGGATGAGAACGACCTGTCGCAGGGCGCCCGGCCAGTTTTCAGGGAGTGGTGGCAGTATCAGGCCGATCGTCGCTCGCACCAAGGTCCTGCCCCTCAATCCCATGCTGAGACTGAGCAAATGGCTTTTGAAGCATTCCAGAGAGCCAAAGAATTCGATCTTGAGGGCTTACGTCTCAACCTCATCGCCAGGCAGTGGCCTTCCGAGGGTGAGACACCGCCCCGGGACTTCTACAGCGACAGACCTCAGATATCTGGCGGCCGTATTCGCGCGAATGATCCCAGTGATCTCCCACACGCCTCAGATGGTTGCTTTGTTGCCCCAAGGCTAAACCAGAGTGCCTCCTGGACCCAGCCTACAAAGCTCGAGGACACAGAGGTTGGCCGAAAGATCATGGATAGATTATAGAGCGGCGACCATCAATGTATAACGATCTCTGTTCCTCATCTGCATCTGCATGACCCCATACAGGGCAACTGGACCTATCACCGTATGTCGTTCGAAGTCGTCATTAGTGCCATACTAGCGTTGCTGTAGGAAGACAATCCTCCTCCGACGGATCCATATTGCAGCACTTGGGCCTCGGATGCCAGACATGAAAGAAGCTCAGCTGTGAGCCACGAGAGTTCGGTGACGGTGATATTCGAGTATTGGAGAACGAGTTTCCTTCTCAATCTCTGCAGTTTGGTCTATCGGGTTGTACCTGCAGCTCAAGGGCGAGAACAGTTGAAAGATAGACAATCACAATAGAAGTCTTCGGAGTTGCACAGTATCAAAAGCGTGAATGGAGTCATTGCCTAGGTAGTGCTTGCATTGAGGTTTTCAGTTCAACTTCATGAAAGTAGTACAGAGTTTGCGAAACAGACCAATTGATAGTCGTTTAGCTATGGTGAAATAGACAAAGACACAACACTTGACCCACGTAAATTCACCCCAGGTGAGTAAGATGCCTACAAACACCAGCAAACTAGTTCGCAGCTACGCAGTTTTCACTGTCACATTGATTGAACCGCCTTTGCGCAGCGGTCAAGAAGATCCACCCATTCTGATGCAGTGTTCCTTTGGGTGAGAAGCGCGGTATTCAACCATGTCTTCTATAAATCCACGATCCGTGTAGTCTCTGATCCAGATTCTCATAGGCAAGGTCCCCCCTGATAGAATGTTTCGAGATCGATGCTAGCAAACACAAACTCTAAGGTATACGCTAATAGCCGATGAGGAAACGCCTTGGAGCTCCGTAGTCGTAGGATTCCTCACAGTAATGCACATGCATTGACTGCTCTCCATGATCCCTAGGGCCAAACTCCCAAAGACGAGTTCCGCGATCTAACTTCTGAGCGTAATTAATATCCCTTTCCTCTGCGACAACTCTGCAGATTCCATTTCAGGGAAGCATGGAAAAGAATCTCTCCTTAGGCAGAACCTGGACCATGCTTGCCAACTCCGGCAGAGGCTCATTCTCGGTAATATACTCCTGAAGTTCAGACTCGGCTGGATGCTGTAGACCTTTTGGCTTCTCCTTGTTAATTGGAAGTTCAAGGTACTCTTTGTGCAGTCAGGCACTACTCACTTGATCTTAGACGCGAATACTACCCTCTGATGTTGGGTGGATGTTGTGTGCGGTGGCGTTGATTTTCGGGGCGTCGATCTTGATGCTCTCGTCTACGGCGATGCGTAGTGGGCGTGATGATCAAAGGACGAAGTAGATAGGCAGTTTGATGTGAATTGTGCTGTTGACAAAGGGCTCTGCGCTTTGTTTCTGTGTTACTGGCATAAAATCCCCTTCACATTCCTCGATATACTGAGGCAAACGATGCCGGTGCGTAATCTGAGCCTGGAGCTAAGTGCTTGCCTTAATTCTCCCGGTGTGTGGGTCCTCCTCGCACTTCCGAGCTTTGACTTCCTTGAACATCTTCAGTAAGGATCACGTCTGTTGTCTCTTGGCTTTTCTTCGCCTCACTTCTTTGATACCCATACGCATCCCACACCTCCGTCAAAGCATCCAGCATTGCTACCATGTCTTCCAGTGACAACAACCCTTCGAGTCACACCTCCCAAGCCTTTCACGGCTGAGATTCCATGTACCAGGATGCCTTGAGATACATGGACGAGACTGGCACTGACTCTGTGACTGCGTGTGTTTGCGTCTCTCGACCAGGTGTATTTCAGCTTCTGGTTATAGGTACAATACTTATCCTCTTCTCAGGAAGATCCCACTGTGATGATCATGATCTACAGCGTAGGTGCCTTTCGTTTCTTCGAACCCCTTGACGATTTCTATGGCACGTGGATCAACACTGTTATTTCGAATACATGCAGCTAAGATAACGTTTTAAGTTATACTAATGTAGCTAATTACACAGACTCAATGTCCTCTTCCATGGGCTCGGCATCGATTGTTTTCTGCAAGATTCTAACGTCGTTGCGAGGCTACCAAGGATTTGTTCCCAGCTCAGGACTTCCGGGGGCGATGAAGGTGGCTTCAGGAAGGCTAGACCTTTCCGGATAGCTCTGTACAACGTCACCTGATGCTTCCCTCGCTCGACGCAGCTGAGTCAATTCAGACCGCATATCATCCAGCTGCTGCTTCATATTGAGCATGAGCTCTCTTTGTTCTTGTTGGCCTTTCTGCATGAGATCATTCTGCTCCTTGACACCCTTGACAAAGAGGTCTTGCAGATGCTTCTGACCGTCCCGCAACTCCTTGTTCTCTTTCCTGAGCTCTGATAGCTCCGAAAGCATCTCCTTTTCTTGTAGGGAGGCATACGGTACCAGCCCGAAATTCTCTCTCCATCGATTCCGCCATGGTTCTTGACAGGTACTTTGTCGAACTAGTTGTCGGGGTTGGCCGCCGAGTCCAGAGGTGGACGCCACACTTGGCACCAGAACCTTCAAAACTGTCAAGACTGACAATCTCACTATTGGGGCACCTCATCATGGTTAACCCGAACAGTTTCAAAAGCAGCTGCAAGTGTCACGAGAACATTATGCCCTGAGCGGCGTTCAACCAACCACTCACCCAGCAGCCGATTTGGGACCGTTGTCCAATGGACGAGCGCACTGGTGCTTCCTGAGACCCTATGCATATGATGGTTGATGCCCGAGATAGCATCCTCGCCAGAAGTAGCAATGAGTTGTGCTATATCCAGTAGGTTGGTGACCTCGTCCGCGAATGGACGGATATCAACGCCGATCCATGTGGCGAGTGCCTGCAGTATATACATTAGTTCATAATTGCAACGAGAGTCAGAAGACAACTTACAAAAGGCAAATAGATGTGTCCCGCAAGTAGGCCGGCATTAGGGGTATTCCTTCAAAGGCGAGTGGCAAAGAAGAATGAGAAATGGAGAGAGGCCGGACTGGGAGTTCCCCTTATAGCTGTCTGGCTGGGTCTCGAAATCCTTCTCCAGGACGCAATGGACTGCCATGATTCGCCCTTACCTCTCACGGAGGCTGGGGCATGACTGAAGCTGTCTCGGGGATCGCCACTGTCGGTCAATCAAAGGCGGTGGTCTCTCAAATCGAGGGGGTTATGAGGAAGACAGGCGTGCAGAGGGCCTGGGCCATCTACTCTTCTTCGTCGGAGAAACCGTATGTCTGCCAGCTAGGCATATCTTTCGAGAGATTCGACATGTCGCTTGGGCGGCGGGGCCAAGGGAGCTCCTCAATCTTCCAGTAGCGCAAATAGACGTCCTCCAGGCGTTGCATTACCAAATCCTTGGGCAATTTGGATTCGTCGCCGGTTCTGCCGAACTCTTCCTGGATCTCATGGATGGTTCTGGCTTTGTAGAGATCCTCGGCAAAGGTCAATCGCCAAGGGAACCCCGTCGGGGCAGGGAGGTCTTTGGTCTCCTCTGATACCAAGAAATCGTGCAGATAAACACACCAACACCGGTGGGTGGATAGCTGCGGTTTGCCAGCACGATCCGTGACAAGCAGCTTAACCTTGGCTGCCAGGCCCAGCTTCTTGAAAGACGGGCACGCATCGGTGAAGTGGTCTTTGGTCTTGCAGAAGACGCAGACCCAGATTGCGCCATGCTCAGCCGTGACGCAGTTAGCCAAGAGATGGCCGTCTCCTCCACAGTTTGCACAGAGCTTGTTGTGGGATATACCAGCCTGACTGGCAGTCTAGCCTTGAGGGCGGGAAGTTCTCCTTTTAACGGGGGTGGTAATCCTCTCATTCAGAGGCTGCGACGGAGTTACCGTGATGGGGATGACAGCACTGGTAGACCTCGCCAGGTCGTATCTGTGTCTTCTGGCCTCAGCTTGGGCCATGCGATCCGAGTATGGGTCGATCGAAGAGATGAGTCCGGTAGTGTCGGAAAGTGCCTGAGACGTACGGGAGGTTTGAGTGGCATATTCTGCGTTGTCGAGTCTGCCCGCCAGATTCTCATCGTTGCCGTGATTGACCTGGTGCATTGCAAAACCATCACGGTCATGCTGCTTCTTTTCCTGTCGGGTAGGAGACATCGTGAATCACCGAGTGAGAAAATAAAGGATCTTCTAAAGAAAAGTTGTCGCGTTGTTCGCCGGTGAATGATTTCGTGATGGCGTTGAGGAAAGATTTGTCCTATCGTCCCTTGCGCGTGGTGAAGTTGGGCGATGAAGTACCAAACCAGGTTGAAGTGAATTATTCTGTGACGTGATGTGTAAAGAGAAAAGAAATCTTGGTGTACTCTAAGAGGTTATGTCACCTCTGTGAGGTCCGTGACCCATAAGGCATGACGGGTCTCTAAGAAGAATTCTGGTTAAGCGCCATGGTCTGCCAGTGCCAGACACTCCATCACTTCACCCTCGATCAACCTCTGTTTCACAAGGGCCACCCTACTGGAAGTCCCCTGAGCACAAGCCAGTTTCGCAAGCTAAAGAAAATTCTCTTCGAGGCTCGAGTGAAAACAAAACATCCACAACGCATCGCCATCTGAATCACAAACCAAGCACAAAGCGACTTTTCTTCTTTTAAAAAACAAAAGCCTTTACAGTGATTCACGATGCCTCCATCACGAACCAACAAGAACAACGATCAGGATCGACGGGATCGTCGTCCTGGTCCTCTAAGCCGACCTCCTGAGCGCACTAGTGCGAGGGATAAGTCGACTCAGCGAGAAATGGTAGAGGTCGGATCTGCGAGCCGCATCTCTCAACCAACACGGGGGCTCTCTTCGACCCCACGAGGAGACCGCCGTGGTCGAGGCCGGGGCGGATATGCTGGTGTGGGTGGAAGAGGTGGTCACTCTTCAAACAGGCCCAGTAGCTCTACGCGCTGGAACCAGTCTCAGCCCGAGCCAGAGACTGTGTACAAGCACACCGACACGGCCCTGATGACTCGTGTGTGTGCCGCGGACGGAATGTTCGCCACCAAACTCACTCCTACGGGACTTGGTGGTGGCCACGGCAACAACTGGTTCGCCAAAACCCCCGACAAGGGTTACTGGATTCGTTCAGAAACGGGAACGGGAGTTGACGCGATGCTCCAGCGTCTGAAGCGCGATAATCCCGAAGCCACCGGCTTCAATATCACAGCTTCGTGCATCATTCCCGACAAGTTCGAGGCTATCGACCGAGACCATACTCAGAAGATAGTCATGAACAACGACTTCCGGGACAAGGACGGCAAGCCAGCCGGCCTCTTCGGTACAGGCATTCAACCTCTAAGTGAGAGGAAACCTGTCCCCAAAGGAGCTTGCGAGCTGTGCGGCAGCAAGAAGCACTTGTTGTCTGACTGCATCGAAAGAGGTTTCAAGGGTCAGGTGAGTGGCTGCAGTATCTGCAACAGCCGCTCACATTACGTTGATTCTTGCGACCACTTCAACTCAATGTCCTTGCTAGAGAAGGTCCAGACTCTCGTTCAGAAGCGAGCGAACAGGCCTCCTATGAAAACTTCAACGCCCTGGTGGAGATACCTCCACTCGTTCTGCAGCGGCGAGGAATTCGTCCCGAACGTCGTGGTGGATTTCCCCTGGTCCAAGCCGTTCTGCGAGAAGAAGGGCTCCAAGGGCATGAAGAAGATCCAGCAAGACTTCGACGCCAACCCTGACGGGTACAAGTTCGAGCGTGATCCGAAGTTGTCGACCTTTCGCCAGGTGTCCGATACTTACTGGGAATCAAGCGGATTGCCTTGGCCCGAGGTCCTCGGCCCTCGCATCAAATCTGAGGACGTCGGCGGGCAGGTCATCAAGACTGAGCCGGAGGCTTGAATGGTAAGTTCTATTGAGTATTTCTAGACCAACTCTGACAGTATGCAGTTAAAACGCCGATGAATTACTACCACGGCAAAGACGATGAGCAGTTTCGGGACATTGGTGAGGGACGATGAACGGCACGGGTGGTACCAGGAGGAAATGGGTTGATAAACATTTGGTTCATGCATCAATGGAAAGCTGTCGTCTCTCAGTACATATCTGCCTTTGATCGAGCGAATAAAGTGTTTCCATGAACGACTGATCGCGTAAAAATTTGTAACAAATGTCTTTGACCTCCAAAAGTCGGAGGCAATCTGGGCAGTTGTGAAGATTAGATTAATCAACCCGTACACGAAACACGCTCTCGTCTACCGTGATGTGTGTCTCCAATGCAGATCTCGTCATTGTCTCAGGTTTGGGAGACTTGTTGAAGTTCAGATTGCCCCAACAAAATCGGGTCCGGGCACATGAGATTATGGTCAATACAGATACTCGCCACAAGGCACCTTGATTCCGATAGCTTCACTAGATCATCTGGAATTCCAAATAGCAGAGGCTGCCAGTGTGTATGTGTTGGCAAAGTCTTCAGGATAACCTCATGTGCTTAGACACCGCTCGGGACCCTTCTTTTGGGTGATGTGTTTATGAGACCTTTTACTTCCACTCGCCGTTGTGAATGCCGACAATGTCGGATTTCATTACCCAGTGGAGTCTTGTGACCCCGAACATGGAAAAGGAATCAATGAGGTGACGGCTCTTTTTGGAGGGTCTCTCCAGTCCATCTCGCAAAGTTGCTGCCGTCCAAGGGATGATATCTTTAGTACGTTTCTCTGTTGCGAAATTTGCGTGAACAGGTGTAATATCGACATCGAATATGAGCTACAGTTTTCTAGACAGCAATCACCTTTCACTTGAGAATGTACATTACCGTGGAGACGCTGAAAACGTCCCATCTTCACATTGAAAGACGTTTTTTTTGCTTTGCCTGAGTTTGTATGAATCAAAATCTTACTGTAAACCACGGTCTTTAGCAATCTCCAATGTAGCCTGAGGACATCTACTACACAAGAATGGTAATCTGGCAGTTAAGTAGCATTTCATTACATCAAACAAGTCTACCGCCTAATTAACCGAACATTTAGCGGCCTGTGTTAACACCTCTCGCATCGGCCTTTGTCATTTAATTTCAACCCACAACTTCCATCACAGCCACCACCAAGCAGAACACTGTACGCAACACAGCACTAACTCGCGGTCTCTTGTTAACAAGTCAATATAGGAAAAATGTCTACTCCCGTGCTCTCAGAGCTTCAAAAGTTCCTCAAGCCTATTGTCGACTTCGCCGAGTCAACCGATGACTCTGACGAGTCGAGCGATGAGGATGGAGGCAACGTGCGCTTCGGCCACATCCAGATACCTCCTTACCGTCTTGGTAAGGTGAGTCTGTTGGAGTCAGTGCGACAGATATCCATGAAAGCGAATCGCTTCAACGCTGAAATGATATTTGTTGTTTCTGCTAGAGAAAAGGAGTTGGGGATCGGAGTGAAGGATGACGGCAAGGTCACTCCCGTGATATTGACGTTTTCTGAGCTCATCGATGCCCTCAGAGCCTCCAAGAAGGGTGCGAGAAATGGCCAATGGGTCACTGCACCAAAACCGCCCTGGAAAAAGGGTCAAGCACTCCCGATCGAAGTTGTTTTGGTCATTTGCCTCGACCCTCTCATGCCCGCAGATTGCGCTTTGTGTCTGCTAGGCGCAGTGAGGTGGGCAATTGATCAAGCCTCCAGCTGGGATCAAACCGACATTCGTGTCCTGACTTTGTCAGCTGAGAAGGAGTTCAACTTCCTTTCTGAGGTTGTGTCTTTCCTAGCGCCCGACAAGCAGGTAGCGAGTGTTGATCTATCTGTCCGTGGCCCGCAAGACGGAACCTCAGGGTCTTGGATCATTGTGCAGCCTGGTCCCGGTGGCTATGCTGGCCGTATATTGGAGAAGCTTCGAGCAGGAACAGACTGTCGACGTCTCATCCTTTCATTCGATGAGAGGTTGCGTGAGCAGTTCGAACAACAGATGAGAGACACCGAGAAACCAACGGTAGAGTTCCGTACAGTCGAGGCTACTGTCAGTGTCGATCCTCTTCTTCACCTCGAGCGCTCGGAACAGGGACCGAAGATTCTCTTCATAACCTTCCAGGGCGAGGTGCCGTTCCTTCCACTGCAAATCCAAAACTTTGATGAGCTTTACCTGGTCTTGGGTACCAGTGGAATATTTAAGAAAGCCTGGGATGAAATCAGTCGCCAGGTCATTAACCTAGCTCACTGGGCTTCAATGGGGGACCGCCGTCTCCAGTCCTGGTGGGCTAGTCAGCCATCGATCCCGACGAGGATCGTCTACACCGCTGGCGTGCCGCTGGAACAATTCCTACAGGGAGGAGGATCTCGGCTCCGTCTAGTTGAAAATGCCCAGCTTGGCGGATTCATCGCGTCACTAGCTGACATTGCCTCTTGGGGCATTGATCCTGGCGCGGCACTTGATTGCTTTGTTCGTCAGTCTCAGAGGGCTCAGGAGATGTCGCTCAGACTTCATACTCAGCGTCTGATCACAGAGTCCGGACTGGATCTGGCAGATAAAGAGGCAGAGGTCTTTAGAGCGGTTGTCTCTCTGTTGGGGTATGACCATCGCCTAGCCCTGTTCGTAGCCCTTAACTGTAGACCCGAGGTTCGTCGAGTCAAGGTGCAACTTGCTGCTATGCTAAAGTATAGTACGAATCAGGTGGTCTTGATACATGAGAGTGTATTCAATGACAGAAAAAAGTACAACACCGTTCTTCGTGGCTGTCATGGTCTTGGTAGCTCAATGGCTCGGCAAGGAACCATGTGGCTGAATCTTGGCCTATTGAAGCGCCATCAAAAAATGGTCGAACAGCAGAATGAAGACGGTGCACCCGAGGATACTCTTTCAGACCTTGTGAGAGTTTTTCCGGACAAAGTATCGCTCATTGGCACAGAGATTGGCGAGATTTTGGATCGCCTCGTCAAGCTCGGTGTCAGTGTTGATAATACCGTGTCTGTGGCACAAGAGACGAACCAATTGAGCTCAGAGGCAATGGAGGAGATATCCGATCACCTTGTCAGTGCTTTTACTCATAATCTCGTCGTCACTGAGAACTTTAGTCCAGATGAGCAGGATGCCCCCCGTCTTTCCCATAAGGTCATGTCTACTTGGTTAGGCTTGACACAGGCTGGACGGGCACGGCTCATCAACATCAACTCCTACTTGAAGAAAGAAAAGGCTTGTGGGTTCGGCATCTCTTGCGACTTTGACAGGAATAAGGAGGGACACCACTTTTTTAATGATTGGACATACATCCCAGGCATTACTGTTGCCAAATGGCGATCCCAATTCGAGTCGGATGTGACATTTTACGAAATCCTCAACACAGATGTTGAGCGGGAAGGGAATGTTTAGTTTTGGGATGCGAATACAAACTACTTATTATCTGGCATTATTGTTGAACTGTGACTTATTCCAATTGAACTCTGTAGTAAAATGTCACCAAGTACAAGCTACCGATTATAATTCCTGTGTTCCGACCCTGGGGGACCTTACTGACGACACTACATTCAAGTATTAGAGCTACCCAGTAAATTGATTAATACCTAATGATGCATACATTCACGTTGTCACAGTAGAAAAAGGCCATTGAAAGAAAGACAAAGACAGTTTACTAAACTACGTAACAACCCCCAAGTAAGCAATTGATATTCATGTATCCCGGTCGGTTTGATCAATGAGGTGTAATCCCACACCGGTCTCGTCCACGATGATCCTCTGAATTTCTAGCATTAGTTTCCAGAACTTCAGGGCATCTTGTTTATCCTTAAGGTTGCGTCTCACACTTTGCACGATAGCAGAAATGCGCGACAAGACCTGATCGAAATCTACGCCAGAAGGGAGAGTTTGTACTTCATCTTCACAACGTTTCAATATTTCTTTCAGGCGTACTATTTCACCTGAAGCCTGGTCTAGATGGCTGAGGAATCTCTTACGTAGATCAACCTCACCAAGACTATCCTTCAGGTTATTGACCAAGACCCGAGTACCACATATGATGTACTTTATATTGTCTTTCAGGCCTGCATCGGTTGGCAAGCTTTGGAATCCTGTTCCTCCTGTCTCCACAGCATTGAAGCCATGCTGATATATCAGGGATCCAGCGATTGTGCAGACCAGCTGCTCTGCCATGGGCAGTTGTTCCTTTCTGAGAATCCTCAGAACGCACCCAACTACCAGCTCTGGCCCTCTGTTGTGCTTTCTGAGAATGCAAACAGTAAGACCAAGGGGCTTGTTGATGTACCTGACGTTACGATTAGCGTATACCGCCATACGTTTGTTCAGATCCTTAGAACACCCTACATACAAGGGGCTCTGCGATATGTTAACTTGCCCCGTTGGATCAAGGCTCCTATCACACATAGCTTCGAATGTCTTGATAAGGGCCCTGATCCTAGGGACTTCTTCAGCCTTTTCAATGAACATTGGACCGGAATTCTGGCCTCTTTGTGATCCACTGTGGCTCTCAACAGCATTGACCATGCTGATGGCTTTGCTCTCCGCCGGCGTCATATTAGCGGAAGCCCACCCCTTATGTCTGGCATAGGCTTCGTACCCTTCGACGTACAGCTTCATGTCACGAATCAGGACCTCCAATTCGTTGATGTTCAAGAATTGGCCCCCGTGACCCCTCGTTCTTATACCAACGACGTAAACCCCAGGAGTCTTTTCATCGAGCAGCGCTGAGGGCAGGCGAAACGGCTCGATGTTGCTATTCGTCACGTCAAAGGCAAAGGTATTCTTGACAATGCTCTGTACCACTTCAACGGACATGCTGTGCAATAATTCACACATGGTCCAGTCATAGTGGCGCAGGGCGTTGACAGTCGAGAAAACAGGAAACTCGTTGTCCTTCATGGTTTGGTTGTCATCAAGGACATCGGCCAACATTTTCAGCTGTAGGAAGAGCTCAAGCAGCGATTTGTACCTTACACAGGCGTCAATCAAACTACGATGTCCCTCATCCCAGAGCATTGGCATTTCTGCATTGCGCTCGGCGGGAGGAGGAACATTGGCTTCAGGAAAATCTTGGAGTTCTCTGTGAGTAGATTCCATCTTGTTTGATGATGTTTTCCTCTAAATTGGAATCTGCAACTGGAAGGAAGAAGGAGCAAGACCCTCAGCCTGAACCTCAGGCAATCATGTCCGATCACGTGAGTCCGCTCCCGTCTGGGCCCGGCGCGAGTTAGTACCATGATCAATGACCAGTGTTTATTTTGTTATATCTATATGCGCATTCCAAACTGCATAATTATTCCTGGTCTGATTACCGTAGACTGTTTCAAGTGCTTTGTCGCGAAACGAACAACACGCAAAGTTATTCCAACATCACTTCCAGTTTTGTGGTTAGGATACGATGGCAGGGACCACAATGGTGGCACATGAGGTGAGCATAAGGGAGTAAATTCTGTAAAATAGTAGGCATTAACCGTATGTCCTTGTAACTCCATTTATAATCGCAAAAGCGCCTCCATGGGCCTGTCTTTCGTCCAGTTGTCTTTGCTGCCGTTCCGTCACCCAACACATCAGCAAACCATTCACCAAGAGATAGGAGACGACCAAAAAACAGAAGAAGAATTCTCCTGTAGCTATCTGGTCATCATGAACTTCAGACCAGGCAACTCGTTCAAGGATGCCACCTTCATCAATAGGCAATCATTGTGGTACTTGCATTTGTCGCCATTGGCCTTGCCATTGCTGTCCCCAGCCATAATCTGTTGAACACAAACCCAGTCATTAGACCTGGATTGAAGAAACGTCAACAGGTTTTCCTTCCAATTGTACCAATCGATCAACGTGATGAGCTGTGCCGCCAGTTGCGGTGTGCTGAGCAAACCGTTGGTGTCAATGACAATCGGGATATCGCGAAGCTCATCTGCAGCCCTGTAGAAAACCCTGGAGACTTCTCCAGCTGCTCCCTCAGGGATTCTGACAGACTGATCTTGCAAGCTAGACAGTGCTTTATTCAGATTCTCGCACTCCCTCTGTAGGCTTTGGATGGTGTCCTCGGATGTGCGGAGCTGCCCCGACACAGATTCACCAGACTTTTGAAGGCGCCCATTTTCAGCTTTGAGGTGGTCGAGTTCATTTGTAGAAGAACTGACCGCCCCTTGAAGCTCGGTAACTCTAGCTTGAGAGTTCTGAAACTTCAAGTTCGACTCTTCCAATAGTGCATTCATACGACTCACGTCATCATTTGCAGCATGAAGCTCACTTTGGAGGGGCTCAAGTGTAGAAACTGTCGACTGTAGTTTCTGTAGTTGCTGCTCAAGATTCTCAATAAGAGAAGCCTTGGCAGAGATCTGACCCTGCAGCGCTTCCTTCTCAGAAGACCACGAGTCGCTCAGCCGACCAACAGTTTCTTCATGAGTGCGCTTTTCGGACAGCTGTGTCTTCATCGCTTCGCTTACAGCGGCGTATTGATCCTTCAATTGCTTTTGAAGATCAAGGGCCTGTTGTGCGCGAAGCTCATTTAGCTCCGTTCGAACCTTTGAAAGGTCGTCCTCCAGCTTTTGTTTCTCACGGTTGACATCGCTTTGGTTCGCCAAAGCCTCCGTCAGCTGAGAAGAGCAGATATCAAGGGCCGTCTTCTCGCACTCAAGTCTGCTCTCGAGGTCTGTGATCTTTTGATTCAGGCCCCGTTCGGTTCGCTCTGCCTGCTGTAGCTCGCCTTTGGCCCTGGAGAGCTCTTGACTGGTAGTCGCAGCCGTTTGTAGTGAGTCCTGAGCCGCGACAAGCCTTCTCCTGGCCTCTTGACCTTGAGAGATCTGCGGACCTGCCTCGATTAGGCGATTCCGCAAATCATCATTGGATTTCTGGAGGTCCTCGATCTTGGACTCCTTTGCCTTTAGATCCTCGTCATACTCCTCAAGTGCAGCCTTAGCCCGCTCTGAGAGATTACTGGCATCATTTCTTTCGGCAGTCAAGATCGCGTTCTCATTCTTGAGTGTTTGGTTCTCTTGAGCCAGGACGAGTACTCTATCCTGGAGGCTGCTGACCTTCTCAGCAAGACCTCCAATCTGAGCAAATTTAGTATCCAAGGAGTCCACTGTAGGTAGCCCTTGAACTGCAGTCTTGATGGTGTTGGCAAGTTCGACAAGTGGTGCAATCTCAACTTTGATGCCTCCCATTGTCACACCAGCGTTGAGGGATGATTTGATCTGCTTATGTTCTTCATTTACAGAGGCCATAGCAGTCGCCATCTCAATTGACTTATCCTTCACTGTAGACAGGTCATCTGTGTTCTTTTTGACAGAGTTATGCAAGTCTCTCAAGCTTTGGTTGACGTTCTCTTCTCGGCCAGAAGCACGAGCAGAGATGTCCTCCCGAAAGCCTTCAAGCTTTTCTGCCACAGTCTTCTGGCAATCGCTCACATTTCCTGAAACTTGACCAACATTTGTGGCAAGGTTACGGAACTGTTCACTGAGTGTTTGGGCAAGATTCTGGAGCTTGACTCGCTCAGCTTCGAGCTCCTCAGTCTCCAGGTTCTTCTGCTCTTGGAAGGCTTCTCGCTCAGTCTTAAGCCTCTCAAGTTGGACCTGAAGGGCTTTAGACTGGCTTTCGGCTCTTTCATGCATTGCTTCAGCCTCATCTTCTTTCCGCTCCACAATCCTACAGGCCGACACAAATTGATCACGAAGGACCTTTGCGCCGGCTGGGTCAGGGAGGAGAGAGAGGATGAGGTCGAGTTGTTGGAGGTTCAGTACACGGCTAGTCTCTTGTTGCGCTTCCATTTTTCTGGATTGCTTTGAGAGTGTGTTGTTGCAGGGAAAACGAACTTCATCTCAAGCCAGGGTCGAAGGGAAGGTACGCCCACCCCGGACATGGTACGTACATACACAACACTCACGTGCCAGTTTGACCATGATCCAATGCGCAATGTCTGGAATTAATTAATAAATGATCAGTGTTTGTGCTACTGATACCGAAGAGACTTTACATCATATTCGGGTTGTTTTGACGTGAGCTTACAGTCTCATTGGGAATTACAAGACGGTGCAGCGAGTCGGGGCATCCGTGATCCAATTGATGCGCCAGCTCCATTGGCCCTTAGTACAAGTTATGGTCCAAACGACTGGATGAAAGGTCATTAGAAATTCGTAGGTGATACAGCCTTAACTCTACTCTTCAATTGGAAGTAGTCGCAGCTTTTGCCGATCGCCGTACCCGAGTGGGACGGAGGCCCTCCAAATCTAAACAACATGCGAGGTGAACTGTTCTTTGACTGCATCAATAATTGGAACCACCGCCATTGCCCGTGAGCTGATGTACCTGCTTTATCTGAACTCAAGATACTGTACCGTGTGTGACTTCCAGGGCATGTACGGGGCTGAACTCCTCCTTCCGCAAGCGCCCCTGAACCGCTGTAGACGCCCCTTCCTTGTCGAGTTGCCGAGTAGGTCAAGTGCTGTCATCTCAACCCGCATTCCCAACACTTCATTCTTCCACGCTTCCATCAAAATGGCTTCAAGCTCGAGGAATTCTGTGGCCATGCCCAAACCACTTGCTGCTAATCACAGCTTCCCCCAAGATCAGCTGTCGCAAATCGAGCAGCTTGAGAATGAACTCAAGAAGGTCGTTGGTGCGACAGCTGCTCTGAGGGCAGGCGCTCCTCCTGGGAAGGATTCAGCTACCATGGCTGGCTATGATCCCGTAAAACGGAACAAGTCTGTAGCCATTCTCAAGGAGATCGATGTCACCAATGATAGAATCAATCGCTATCAAGGTGACATTGGACTTACTAAGAAGGCAATCATAGCTGGCCAGAGTACAACTCTGACAGGCGTTGATCTGCAAGATAAAGAAGCTCAAAGAAGAGCATCTGAAAGAGTGGTGGAGTACGTCACAGGGTCAAGTGAAAACACCCGAGTGTTTTATGGCGGATTGGGTGTTCCTGTCACCCCTGCGACGAATGAAACTGCACAAAAGGCCCTGAGGGAACTGGCGATTCCCAACACGAATCCGCCAGCCCAAAGGTCCGATCCAGCGAAGGAGATTGCTGGTCTTAAAAAGGCAATGGATGAAAATCACCACCTGATCACTAAATACAAGAAAGAGCGTGATTGGTGCAAAAAGGCCTTGGAGACAAGCAAAAAGGAGATCGCGAAGTTAACCCAGACGTCTGACCAGCAATCTCGGGATCTCTTCAAGGCCAAGCGAGACCTTGAAAAGGCCACAAGAGAATATCCGCAATTGGATCGAGACCTGGCGAAGCGAAACGAGTCGAGCCTCAAATCTCAAGTCATTAAAGCCCAGATGATGGCTGAAGATGCGGAGAAGCGAGCTCAGACGGCCGAAGATGGGAAACGTGACCTAGAGAGCAGGTACAACGCGGCCAAAGCCAGTCTCAAAGCACTCGGCTCTTCCCACCTCTACCGGGGTAATCAGATTAAACTGTTGACGAAAGAATCTGAAGATCTCAAAAATGGCCTGGAAGATTATAAAACGCGTGCTGAGGCTGGCCAGGCTGAAATTGGCCGGCTACGGTCAGAATTGGAATCCAGTCGCGATGACCATCTCATTGAATTGGGACGTCTTCAGACTGCGAAGAATGAACTTGATAAGAGGGTCCAAGAAGTCTCTGACAAGCTTCTTGAAACCCAGATCGATCATTCAAATGTCTCTGCGAGCCTCATCTCTGCAAATGAGAAGGTTAGCAAAGTGACAGGGGAGTATGAAGCTCTTCAGCTCACTGCTGAGGGATACATACGTGACCTTGAAAGGAAGAATCAGAGAATCTCAGAGCTTGAAAAGGCTTCTGACGAAAAAGATGCCTCCATCAAGGTGCGTGAAGAAACCATCAACACGCAGATCCAGTCGACCTCCACATTCTTACGACATCTTTCGTCGAATGTGGAGTCTGATACCTGGAAACGTGTTGCAGAGAGAGTACTAGTTGACTCGGCAAGTACTTCTTTTACCTCGGCTGAGTGGCAACCATGGGTTATCTTTCCGTCCTGGTCTGGAGATGTGTCTCTTGTGACCTGGGAAGATACTCGTGGTCCTGAAGCTGTTGCTCTCAACCTACTTGTCATCTTGAAAGACAAGTCTGTAGATACGAAAGACTTGTTGGCTTTACTTCATCACCTGCAGAAGGCGATGGAGGAGCTCAAGTCGATGGTAACTTCCATCGCGCAGCTACTTCTTGAAGCGTTGGGCGGGGCGGTTGGTGACTCTCGATTGCATCTGATGCACCGTTTTGCCATGTGTCAGATAGTAAGTCTCTTGGGATCCACCGGTGAAGTCCAACAGTTTATGCAGGCGATGGATGCTGCTGATCCCAGAATCCAGCGTCTTTTCAATGCCCTAGGAGCATATCGTCTCGACAACTCTGTCTTCCCGATGGAGGAGGCGATAAGCTACCCTGGCGTAGCACTTGTCGGTTTCAACAGAGACCCTCAGGGAGTTATTGCTGTCAGTCCATCTGACAATGGTATTTGCTGGATTGATAGCACCAATATCAGAACCGAATTCACTCTGTTGAAGATCGTTTCTGGGAAGGGTGCTAGTATCGAACTGCCTCTCGATACAGTCGAGAGGCTTGATTGGGCCATGACGCATGCATGATGTACCAGATGGAATGGTTTGGCAGTATATACATGTATACGACTAAGCGTCCTTGATACACATGCACATTTCCGCCTTTTCTGTTTTGCTTTGTTTGTGTTGGTTGCTGTTGGAGTCAATTGGAGGATTGTTTCTGGGTCCGGAACGGTGTTATGGAATTGAAAGACGTCGAGGGCTCTGGCAAAATAGTTATTTCCAGCTGAGGAGTTCAAAATCGAAGGGGTTGTGACTTGAGGATGTGTCCGGTCTTCCCTATTGCCAATGCCAATGAGAAACCTGCCGCAGTTCAACCTGAATTCCGCATAAAGAGCAGGAGTAGTTCTTTTACTGGTGGCTTTGGCTCCCGACGTAGCTCAAGTGGCAGCCAGCGGCATCATGAAAGTGTAGCCTTGTCAATGTAATGGCGTCAGTGATATGAACTCTCCAGTGTGTCACCTTACAGTGTCATCGGGACGTAAGCAGGGATGAAATCGATGCTTCTGTATTTGAACTAGGTATTACGCTTATAAGGTAGACTCGAGACCCATAGGTCAAGGCTGATTGAAGATTATTTGGAAGTCTGCACTGATTACACAGAGAATGATACTGACGACGCTTAGCGTGGTTTCAGAATGAACGATGGAGGAAATGGTCCCAAGCTGCTGACACACGTGTGTTGAATTTGTTCACAGCAGGTGGGGAAAATAGAAATCATGAAACCCAATGTTCTTTCGTTCCCGCCCCTGTCTTCTTTGTATTCCAAACCGGCCGCTACCACATCGTCCCTGGGTGTTAGACGGCATTCCTACTTCCATGCCCCTTTTCCCGAGTTTCTTGTGGTATAACATAGCTATGCGAATCGACTAAGGAAATCCTGGTTCATAGAGACATTAGTATTAATGAATCTTCTGCGGAATATGACAAGGCCTTACCGTGCTGCTGGATCCTCGTCATCCATGGACTGAACGAGCGTACTCCTGGTCACCCAACCTTTTAGAAGGTCAGTAACCATGAGAAGAGCTCATCCTAGTCGGCCACCTGCTGTGAACAAATTCAACACACGTGTGTCAGCAACCGAGTTGACTTTGCAGTATCCCCGACGATTCTATGCCGCATCACGGCGAGCATCGCGCGAAGCTTCGGATCGGTCTGGTTTGCCCTTTCGCTGAGGTGCTGTCTTGGGTGAACCAGGTGGCTCGCCACTGCCGAGTCCTGTATCTCCTTGAACTTTGCCCCTCCTCTTGCCACGGCTGCGTCTCTTGGAAACTTCACCTTCGCTTGTTTGTGCCGCCCGTATACGGGGGCTACCTGTGGCAGTCTGAGCGTCTGCTGGTTCCTGTTGGCTCGGAGGCTCCGGCATAGCTTTGTCTACATCATCCTGCGAAGGCTGGTTTTGATGTACCTGGGTAGCTGACGACGTTGGGGGCGTCGGCTGAGCTTTCTGCTCCTGGCTTGACTTCCACAAGTCCTTCAGGTGACGATCAATCGTCGAGATCCTTTTGGCGTCATTGTCTGTCAAGGTTGGGGGGGCGACCTCTGAGAAACGTCTGGGGTCTCCCGCACTCTTCATCGTCTGGAATCCATAGAACAGCATGTACTTTCCATGCCCATCCTTAACAGACCAGTCGTGGTTAACAATAGAAGGTGGCTGGCGCTCACCAACAATGTTGGAACCGTGTATCCCATAAGTACGGACGTACTCTCCAGGATGCTTGTTATCCCTGAGGCGAACAACAGCCAGAAGAAAGTATTCATTCTTCCCCACGTTTAGATATGAGATGTCAGGATCCTGCTCATCCAGTTTCCATATGGGTAAGTGAAGGGTTCTAAGCTTGTTCAAGTCGAAGCGTTCTGTATCACTAGAGTCGGGCGTGTAAGTAACACGCACGATCCATGGATCATTTGGCCTTGACAGGATTTGCTTCCCTTTGTGAGTGATAACACCGAAGGAGTCATCGACGACCTCTTGCAAAGTTCTACCGGGTGTCTCAACGTGATTGAGCTCCAGCAGACTTGTGCTGGCAATGTCATCTGGAGTTCCATCAGCCACTGCACCCGTGTCAATGCAATGGAGGATGTCTGTGAGGCGGAACTCATCTTGCGACCAGAAGGTCTTGTTCATGAGTGACGAGCTACAGATCTCCTCGAAAGAGGACTTGTGGGAGATGCCCTTGGCATTGAGAGCCCCGAAGGCTTCATGTCTGGCCTTTATGGCCTCCTCCCTCTGTACGACATCATCGCCGAACAAGTGCCAAGCCAGGCGCAAGATCGGGTTCGCTTCCTCTGAAGCCTGCATCCACGCTGGAGGCGGGACGAGGTCAAGCATTACATGACTGTAGATGCGCCGAAGGACAACAATCAGACAGTCAAACCCAGGCTGTGCATCGGCGTGCGCGAACTGGGGAGGGCGACCCTCAAGAATGGCGGCAACAACATCGATGTTGGGGCCGTGGAGCTTGTGGTGGACTCGGATATCGTTGTTCATATTGCTGATCAAAGTTAGGTTAGCAAATCCATGTTGGAGGCTCTCATTCTTACGGTTTCTCGAGATGCGAATGTTGTGTTGGAAATACGCTGTGCAACGGAATGCTATAATACCGTTTGTTGTTAACAGTGGCAGAGTCAGTGCATGTGCTGAGTCAGCGCTTTGAGGCAATGCCTGTTGGCTTTGTCTCCCTGCCAGCATCACTTTTACTCTTCATCAAAAGAACATTCACAAACAAGTAAGCGCTGCCAGCCTCTCGAGATCACCAAATGATATACTGACGCATCAAGGAATTACCTTTACGCTTTTTGCCTTTTCCAAGAAAATAAATACCAACAATCTCGACACGATGAGCAACGCGCAGAACAAACGCGCTGCGCAACCCCATCAAGATGAACCCGCCAAGAAGAGAGGTCGGCCTTCAAAGGCAGCGCTTGATTCGATGGTTCCTGCGGACAGCATGAGCCGAGTACAAGCCCGTGAAATGCTTGAACGCCATCCTGAGCTGAATTATTCTAGCCAAGATGAGCCTTCATTCTACGACGAGCTTGTCCCCTGGCCTAAGAAACATGACTGGAGCGACAAAGATAATACTGCGGTCGATAGGGAATGGAATCGGTCTGAGGTGAAGAAAGAGAGCTCCAAGGCCTTGAATACGTGTCAATACGCGGCGTTGTACTTGCTCTTCAAGATCTCCCTCAGATTGTACCGGACGACACCGATTGCACTCTTGTCGCCAGTTTATGGCCTGCGATACCAACCAGTATCAAAAGTGGCCAATAGATGGATCATGGCAGGCACATTCTGTGAGACTCTCTCTGGCATCATGGTTCATCCATGCTGGGAGGAGGACACAGCTTCGTTGGCCATAGCCTTGGGGTGGGCAGTCATTTGCCGGCTCGATTCTCGCACTGCGTGGGAAGTCTCCGTGGAGGTTTCTTGCCCAGTCATTCAACGAACCTTTGACAAGATCCAAGGTTACGGACAAAAGTCCTTGGACAAATCATACCATGATTTGCACAAGGCCGAAAGGGAACGCGCTTCTGCCAGAGGGGAGTCACTGTCCTGGCATTCGGACATTCTCTATGCACTCGGCGAGGCGGTCCCAAAAGAACAAAAGAAGAGGCCCGATGAGGATTCTGAATATTTTCGTGTCTTTGGCCGCAATGTTCTTCCGGTGACTAAGTGGGATCTTGATGTCCTCGCTCAAGTTGTCAATTCTATGGACTTCGAACCTCAATGGAACTATGGCACTCAAGAGGCCCTGCTCGCTTGGAAGATCGAGGTTTCTCGTTCTCGTGATGAATCTCGTACTGAGTTACCGCGACAGGAAAGGCTCTCGCTTATATATCAATGGGTACACCTGAGTATATTCAGGCATATTAGACTCTTAGATAGACAGCTTTCTCCCTCGCAAGGTACGGAGGAAACTGACGCTGATGATAGTCAGAACTCAGATCCTGCTTCGTCCAGTGACGATACTGGGTCTCATCAAGAGACTTCCTCGCCACAGCAGATGCGTCGAGTAAGTGCTGTCGATGACTCTAGTCGACGCCCAAAGCGCCGCCGTCAACGCATTGTCGAGGACTCTGGTGATGAGGACTCTAGTGACGAGGAGTATGTTGGACTTCGTCGTCTCCCGATAATCCGTCACGGACGTGATGTCAACGATGCCGAGGAAGAGCACACTGCGACAGTGCGCCCTGACGTTTCTGATGCCCGCCCTCTACCTGAAGTAGAGAGTGGAGTTGATGATGACATGACTAACATTTTCGATGATGGTCTCAACCTCGATTTCGATGGGTTTGTTCCACATGTTACCGAGGAGGTGGACGAGTGTGGCCCTTATGGACCAACTCTTGCCGAATCATTTCCTCCTGGACGCCGTGCATCCCCTGTATATGCTTCTCTCCGAGAGAAGAAGATGCTTTCAGAACTCTCAGAGCTAAGGAAAGAGAACAAGGAGTTGCGGGACGGCCAGAAGCAACTGCAAGACCTCTTTACTGAGGGACAGAAAGAGCAGAAGCAGCTGATTCTTGATATGAAGCTGCAGTTGGATAGCATGCAGTCTGAATTGAGCCAGCTGCGTCAGTCCAAGGAAGCACCCAACCAAGGTGCCGTTGTACAGAGTCATCCGGAAAGGCTTCGCCCTCCTGGAGCGACTGTCATCGACCCCCGTGGCGCTACCAATAGTCCCGAGCTGGGAACAGATCCTTCGGCGCCTCGCAATGATGTTAGAATCGTGCAGGAAACGATCAATCCGAAACCCGCAGAGGAGGACATTACCCCTGAGCCACCTGTCCCTAAGCGAAAGACTCCAGAACCAGAGAGGTCTGAGCAACAGGCAACAGATGCGCCGGAGGTCATTCAAAATGCGCCTGAACAGAACGCATCCAAGCAGAAGACGCCTGAACCAGAGCAGTCTCAGCAACAGGATGACACTGTTGAGGTAGAGCACCTTGAGCAATTGTCTGACCAAAGTCGCCAGGCATTGGCTCCTCGCGCCGGCGTCAAGGTTAGTTCACAGAACTTGACCAAAGACGTATTGCGTGGACTTGCCCAGCGCCCTGTCAAGAAGGAAAGAAGGATTGGTAGTATGACGGGCTTGGTATCTGGACAGACACCTATTTCAGGTGTGCAAAGGGATATCTTTAAGACCCCACGGACAAAGGTCTTAAAAATAATTAAGTAAATTAAGTAGTTAAATAATAAAGAAATTAAAAGTTATATTATAATACTTAATAAAATACTTAATTTTAGTT